AAGTTATAGATTAATATGTATCAAAAATTTCAATTTTTTAAAAAATGTCTCAGAACCCCATTTTCCTAGCAAACTTCTCATATACATCTTTAAATAAAGACAAAACATGTTACATAATCTTTCACATGGTATTCCTTCTTCTTTTATAATCTTCATACAAATTATCCATTACGAATATAATCACTTTCATTATATTGCGATAATTATTGGCGGTGAATTTCAAAATATTTTCCAAGCCGTTCTTCAAAATTATTAAGCCTGAATAGCGTGAAATTTCGCATAGTTTATAATCAATCTCCTTAACTGCTTTTGCGTCAACTTTTTGTTGTAAGTATTCATGAGTAAACTCCAAAAGATACTTTGTGATGCTGAGATCAAGCATATGCATTCGATCTGGAACAGTCGCTTCATAAATATTGAAATCATCAAATTCCCAAAAAAAATTGAAATCTGTATGAATTGAAAATTCTTTGGCTTGATTTATTTTGATGGCTTCTTTTATATTTTCATGAGTTCGTAAATCAATGTGAGTTAACGCCATATTATTGAGATTTTTATTGCTTGTTAAGCAAAAACTACAATGTCATTTGGAAGTCGATGGGAGATATGTAGCAGTAAATGTCGCTGCTTCTGCCATATCAGTGAGAATGACCGATATTTTTGAGATAAATTGATGTATTTTATTTTTTACAACAAAATACATATCATTTTGATTCAAAATTGGAGATAATAGCATTCGAAAGCATCTTTGGAAAACTTGTCTCTGCAATTTTCAAAATTCTTTAGAATTCTCGATAAATATCATTTGGCCATTCAGTATTTGGCAGATGCATTTTGTCTGTTATGGCATCATCTAATGTGGTCCCACAAAAATCTTCAGTATTGATAGATAACAAAAATGTCAAGTTATCATCGATTTCTTCATCTGTTTCATTGCCTTTTTCACTTTCTCTATCTGTTTCTACAGGTTGTTCTAATATTATCGATTTAACATCTTCATTTTGCTTGTTATTTAATGTCAAAAATCTAATTATTATTAAATTATTTTCAATACAATAGTTATCATGAACTTACTATCTGATCCTCAGTTGGTAAAAAGTCATCCCAAAGACTGGGTTCCTCAATTGGTAATTCATCATCTCAAAGACCAGGTTCTTCATACGGTATGTTCGAACGAGAAGTTTCAACTTCATCTTCAGCAATATATTGATGTTTATCAAAAATATGACGTTTTAAAGCGTAGGAGTTGCAAAGGTTTAGAAACAATAGAAGCATTTATAAGGCATCTTATTTAATGTATCGAAAGTTGTTAGTATCAAAAAAATTGTTTAATGAAATTCATTTTCTTTCCTGATGATCTTCCAATATATAATTATTGAACAATTGAAAATTGATTATTATTTAATCGATAAACTATATTAATTAAGTGGGTGTGTTTCTAGCAAAATCAAGGTATGGATCATATGATTTACTATATCTCATAACTTGATTTTACTGGAAACGTTCCCAAGTGATTGATTAAATAATACACTTAAACAGACAGATACAATAATTGAAACAATTACAAACATTTAATTAAATTGAAGAGTCACGTTTATCAAGTTAATTTGATTTTAATAATTGAAGTAAAACCATTAATATTTATTAAAATTGATTAAATTTAAAATAAATCATTTTAAATGAGATTTATAATGATATCAAAAAAAAAAAAATAGCAAAAGTATATTTAAGAGTAACTTTTCTTAACCTTTTTTTTAAACTTTTAACTTTTCCAATCATGTTTGTTTAACATTTTTTTTCTTACGCTTTTAATTTTTTTTTCATTTTCTAACATTTTTTTTTATGCTTTTTTAATTTTTCTTTGCTTTCTAACATTTTTTTTTTCTTATTCTTTTTTCAAATTTTCTCATTTTCTCACTTTTTTAAAAAAAAATGTCTTATAAACATCAGGGAGCTCAATCTTCGAAAGCGTCAAACTAAAAATATAGTAAATCAGATGAGAAACATAGTGATAAAAGTTCATCAAGAAATACAAAAGGTAATAATAACTACTACATTATTATATTATAAACGTTAATATAAATATTTTATTTTAGTTACAAGAGACGCAAGAGGGCGAGAGACGCAGTACATGTAAGAGGCTTAAGAAGAAGTAAACATGTTGAAGAATGTTATCATGAAACAGATGTTATAGGAGAAGAAGAAGAAGAAGTTTTGAATTTTTCTTATCAATTTACCTCTACCACCTCACAACCGTCTTTAACTCAACAATCTATCATTCAACCATCATCATCATCTCTATCACCGATAATTATCAATCCAGTTGACAATAGAGAAATTATCATGAGTAAAGATGGGAACTGTAATTAATATGTTACAACTTTTAATATTGCAACTTATGTTACAATTAGTTTTAACCTATATATGTTGCAACTTATAATATTGCAACATATGTTGCAACTAATTTTAGCTTATATTGCAACATTTTGTAAATTTGAAATCAATTGCTGTACTATCTTTAATCATAAGTCAATCTCACACGCCAATAATGACTTCAGATATCATGTTGCCTACCCCTACTGAGAAATAACAAAGTCGACGCTTAACACCTATAATTGAACTGCCTATAATTAAACCTACCCAAAGTCAACACTCAACCCTAATGATCGAAAGAGCATCATCTAATAATGTTGAATCAATGTTAATAAAATTAGGCAAACAAAATCGTGTTTTATACAAATTGTAAAAAATAACACTTGAAAGAATCGTATCACTTCAGACTCAAATAAAAAACTAAGCAGTGATAAAAATAATGAGCTTAGTTTAAAAGTATTTAACGTAAGTGAGTGATAATTTAATTTATATTATATTATCATATTTAGATATTTAACGTCATAAGTTATTTATCACTATATTTATTATACAGAATGGATATAGCGCAGTATGCGCCGAATTTTTTCCAAATAACATGTGGCTGAAGTTCAAGGAATATAAATGATTATTAGAAAAATGGTTAAATTCGAGCTATCCAGATTATATTTGTGAATTGGGTGAATGAGAATGGATCAACTCCTTTAGCGGAAAACATCTTTCTATGGTAATTATTATCAGTTAATTGTTAATTTTTAAATATTTAATTTTAATTTTATTTTATGATAGCTTATGCAAAAAATGAAAGACATGAGAGGAAGTCATGTCTCAGCAATCCGAACTGCTATTTTCAGAAAATTAGGACTGTAATTGACGAACAATAAACGTAAAAACTTGAGGGATATTTTAGAATGGAAGCAATCCAGGGAAGTAAAAGACAATTATAATAAATTGTTCACTGAAAGTACCATAATAAAGAATATCATTAGTTCTGCATTTCTATCGCTAGATGATGCTAGCGATAAAAGATTTAGTGATATGTATATTTATACCGCATCTGTATGCGATATAATATTAAATCCGAATTGTCTCACTCTCGAAGTCTCCAAGAAATCACTGGAATTACAATTAAAAAGATTTAGGGTATTTATCAAATTCATTTTGTTATTTAAAAATTAATTTTATTAATCAAAGTTAAAATTAGGAAGCGATTAATAAAAACAGTCAAATTAAGCTTAGCAATTCAATATCGATTTTACGTGAAGAAGTGCCTGATATTTCTAGTAAAAAGAAATTTACTGATGATAACGAAGATGAGAAAGAGCCACCCAAAGATGAAACAACGTCTAATGATATAAGTTTTAAACAATACAATAAATTGTTTGATTAATAATAGTAATTATTTTAATTTATTCTATTTCTAAATTAATTTTTAAGTTTAATAACATTTATTTTAATTTTGTAATTTTGTTACTTTTTAATTTAGGCTTTCGTTTATAATTTTCACGGAAAGATGATTATGATTATTTTCTTATTTTTTCGCTTATTTTACCACTTATCTTTTTTTTTCTTATTTTACCGCTTAACATTTTTTTTTATTATTTTTATTGCTTAACATTTTTTTTGTTGGTTTACATTATTTTATATAATATTTTATAATAGAATAAATGTAAAGGAATATTTATCCTTTATAAAACAATGTTTATCATATTGGTTAACTTTCGATGTTTATTATTTGTATTTCTTATCGTTTAGGTTATTTATCATTAGTATATTTATCAGTGTTTATTAAATTCGATGTTTATAGTTTAAATATATATTATTATTTATCGTTTTAGGTTAAAATCTGATGTTTTATCATTATTTAACCACATTGATAATTCTTGACGTGATCGATTATTATCGATATATATCACATTTTATAATTACTGTGATAAATAACGATGAAGAGATATATATCGCTATATATTCCCCAAAAAAATTCCTAATGTAATAGAATCATTAATATATTCGACAACTATAAGATAATTTTTTACCCAAACATAGGATATCTTATTAATGTGTAAAGTTAAAAGATCAGAGGCATCCTGGGGTAGAAACAGATTTTTAGTTAAGTCTCCATTAAAATTTTAAACAATACACATAGTATTTTTATTTTCAGCCTTCTGAATTTTTATGCTATGCTCTCTCATTAATTTCTCATAGTCACCCTTAAATTCTGGATCTTTATCTGTCAAAAATGTTTCTGGCCAAATAAGCAGACACTTAGGATCATTATATATCACATTAAGAGTTCTAGCAATAGTCTTTGAAGTTAAGATCCCCTGCCTATCCTTAACACTATATGCACTAATAGGGATAGATACTTTATATCTCGAAGCCACATTCACAACATTAAGACAAAAAAGATAGGTAACCTGACCTACTTTATTATAAAGCATATAGAGAACATCTGCCTGGTGAACTTTATTAGGAGTAGTAATAGAACAAATACTTACTCGAGAAATATATCTAGGATGAGGCCTATGTATCTGATGTACAGCCTGTCTCTCAAGCCTATCACGCACTTCATTTAAAGTAAAATCAAACCCAGCTTTTAGAGAAGCTTCAAGCAATTTTTTAGCATTTCTCTGATATCCAATAGGCTGATAATATATCTTTTGCAAAACAATAGAAACATCAAGTTTACGAGTCTCGTCTAAATCTATCTGAATTATAGGAATCAATATGAATTAGCTTACATAGAAATCTTAGATACTAATAAAGAGTTATGCAAAAAATTAAAGGATGAAATAGCTGAAAACAATCTTAAGGATAAAAAACTCAAAGCACTTAGCAGAGAGCTAGAAACTTGTTATAGGATATTATCTCACCAGGATTCAGCAATATTAGCTCACGAAGATGAAATATCATCTCTAAAGTCTGAAATTACTTCACTAAAAAGTTATTTCTACCAAGCTCAGCAGGATTTATAATATAAAGATAATGCTAGTACTGCACAAGATATCCATATTTTAAGGCTAGAAGACAAGGTTGATCAGCTTAAGACCCGTATTTATGAAATAACTGGTCTAAGTCATAAAAAAGTTTTAAAATAATAAAGAAATATTAGATATGAAGTATACAATACAAGCTATCTTAAATAGGCGATTTAAGGCTTCAGCTTCTTTAGCAAGAATTCAAATACATTTGAATAATGCAGGGATTATACTTCCAGATGATATAAGAAGACAATTTGATAGAGTTAGTACATGTTTAGCTAATATTATTACTTATACTGGTACAATTCGTCAGTTTTGGTAAGATCGAAATATGGTAGTAGAACAAAGTGTTCAACGAGCTAGAACTCTAGAGCAACAATTGCAAGAAGTCTGAGCTAGGTCACAGAATGATAATTAAATGCTAACACAAGCTTTAAATAATGAACAAATGAGCGTCATGTATGATAGCTTAGAACTCAGAGAGCAGAAAGGTGTAACCATATATTATTACAAGAAAAGGTAGGCCTTCGTCTAATAAATTAAAGACACAAAGCTGAGGCTGACTTAGCAGAATTCAATAGAGCCTGGGTATTTAATCGATATCAAAAATGGAAAGCTCGAGAAATAAATTCTCGACAAATTATTTTAAATTTACAAAATAATCCGCTTATTAATCCACTAAATATGGCAGAAACTAGATGTCAACCGTTATATAATATAATAGCAACTATTTTGCTAAACATGAACAATATACTAGGCAGGAATCTCCTAATGAGCACTTAGGTAAAATTTGAAATTCTATATCACATTTAGAGTCAAATATGATAGCACTTGAAAATGCTAACCCAGGAGACTTTAATGATGCAATTAAATTTGGTCTTTTAAATTCCAAGTTAAAAGGAAAGTATATACCGGTTCCTAATAATGATCCATATACAGCTACTAATCCTGTTATTAATTCTTCAGCTACTTTATGAACATGAATGAGAGCAAAATATCAGCGTGAAACAATAGGTAGTCAACAAGTGGCTTTTCAGAAATTAACTCAAGAAAGATTTTTAGTTAGCGATTCACTTGATACATATGAAAAAAGAATTTGACCTTTATTATTAGGTATTGCAGATAATGATGCACAAGTTTTAGGATTTCTTAAAAGTCACTTATCAGGTGATCTTTTTACATGGATGAGAATAGCTAATCCTGGTGGTATAGATGCATTCTTTATACAATTAAAAGATTTGTGGTTAGAACGTAATCCATGTGTGAGTACAAGTCAAATACCTATACTACCTCAACCAGAACTTCAACCAGTACTATCTACTCCTATTCCACTAAAAGATGATTTTAAAATTCGACTTGCAAGGGATTTACAATATACAGGAATAGCAACAGATGACGCAACTTTAGAACAATTTATCTATGATGATCTTCAAAAAAAATTGGGAAGCAGAACAGCTCATGTAAGAAAGAGTCCTTTCGAGCCTAGAAGTGTTAATGCTACAAAGAAAGTGGTTAGAAAGGTAGCACAAAAAGCACCAGTTAAATGATTTATTCGTCTTTGCTCAGTCTATAGAAAGGCTGGCCATATAAAGACTAATTGTCCTAGAGTTAAGAAGATTAAAAAGGTTAATTATGTATACCAAAATGTTGAGAAAGATTCAGTCTCATAGAAACCTACTGAAGATTTTGAAGAGTCTGAAATAGAATACGTACTTGAGGAGGAAGTTCAATCTGATTCAGAGCCTAAAATAAAATACGTATTTGAGGAGGAAGTAGAAGAAGATGTCGAATATGTTGATGATGATGAATCTACCCTAAATACCTCTGACTGAAACTGCTATGCTATAAAAAAAAAGTGGTACGAAGTGTAGTACCTATGAAAAAGACATACAAGAAGGAACCCCCTACTTCCAAGTCTCGTAAAAAAGCAGAACCCTTAGCATCGCTAACCATGATTGTAGATTATGTTTTCCTAATAGCCTTAAAATCTATACTATCATCAGTTATGCAACATATTCCTAAAGAAATTCTTAAGGAAGGCTCTCAATATATTAATACAATATATCCTAAATTAAAAGATGAGATTCTAAATACGGCTATGAAGGATGATAGTTATGAAAAGGGAAAAAGTATGGGGGCATGTTACAAATAAAATTATAGACGTTTTACATCTGCTAATCCAGACCACAAATATAGAGCAAAAACCTCTTATTTAAGTCCCAATAGAAGAAAAGCTAGAGAGTCCCAGAGTGAGCGAGTCAAATGATTCTATGAATGATATAATACCAGTAGGTTCTAATACTCTAAACCATGCTATTAAAGCATATGCTCAACGTTATTCAGCTGAAAAAAAAATAGTTGAATATATTGGCCTAAGCCTTTAGAGATAAATTTTTTACAAATAAAGGATGCCGACGATGTTGCGACTATTTATTGTAAAATAGGAGGTTTGGTAATACCTTGTGCAATGATTGATACAGGCTCTGATTCCTCCATATTTTCAGATAATATTGCTGAACTTGTTGAAGAGCTTTTAGGTATTAAAATTAATAGGAGAAAAATTCATAGGCTTAATGGAGTCGCAAGTCAATCTATATCCATCGGCACTATGGATAATATTCCTATAACAATTGGTTCTGAAGACAATACAGCATCTATTATAGATGAATTTTCTGTTATACCTGCGGAAAAGGATCAGGATGGAAATGCTAAATCTTTAGTAATTCTCAGTACTCAATGGCAATATTGAGCTGGATGGAAGCCTTTAATAAAAGGAGAATTTAAGGCTACATGTAATGGAAAGACTATTACCATTCTCCTATCAGTTCACAAATCCCAACGCAATGTTTTTACTGTAGAGAAGGAGGACTTAAAAAAAAGTTAGATAATCAGTCATATATATATTGTTTTAAGGTATTTCATTATCCTTATAAATTAAGAGAGCATATGAAAAGAAATAATCAGTGCTCACAAAAATTGACTGACTGCCCACAAAAACTGACTGACTGCCTACAAAAAATGACTGACTGCTCACGAGAAATGACTGACTATCCACAAAAAGTGACTGCCTGCCTACAAGAAAAAAATATGATACCCATTCAATTAAGTCTTGTCTAAACATGCATCCGGAAAGTATATTTTTTCGGATATTTAGATCATTTTTTGCATCTCCCCGCTTTCCAGTTCATAATTTAGTATCATGATGGGAAAAATATGAACTAGGCTCTATTGTCGCATCTCTTCCAACATGAGGGTTATAAGAAATAATCTTATCATTGAGAGCAATAATCTTTAGGTTTTTTGCAAAAATAACATCTTCCAACTTCTTACACTTTCGCTTAACTGATTTTTTTATATCCTTCTTATAATTTTTAAGTTGGGAGATAGTAGAGGACAACTTACCAATCTC